CCTGGGCTGGTGGGAGGTGTCCCTGCCCATGCAGGGGGGTTGGAACTGGATGATCTTTAAGGTCCCTTCCAACCCAAACCAGTCTGGGATTCTATGATTCAGAAAGCAGATGTTAACCCCCCACAAAAAAAAACCAACAACAAACAACCCAAAGGTTCCTGTGCCCCGTGACAAGTGTCCAGGGGTCTATGGGATGTGCCTGCCATGTTCCCAGGAGCTGTGATGGGCAGGGGGACATGGGGACCCTTCAGTGCCCTCAGCATCTTGGGCTCGTGTGTTTGCTTTGGTGACGGCTGAACCACCGCCGAGGAATTCCCAGGGAGATGAGGTATTCCCAGGGACACAAGGTATTCCCAGGGACACAAGGTATTCCCAGGGACACAAGGTATTCCCAAGAAGACGTGTTGCCAAAGCAACCAGGGATGGACACACCACTTCCATGCAGTGAGTCCCACCAACCCAACCCATCCCATCTGCCTGGGCCGGGCACGGAGCGGAGCCAGCCCTGCTGGGAGGGAGCGAAGAGAGGTCAAGGACAAGTTAAAATTGGAAAGAAAACTGAACATGCTGTTTCCTAGAACCTTGCTCTGCCAATTTTTTTCCACACACAACCCCCCACCCCCCTTCCTATGGCCAGCAGGGCAGTGTGAGCATCTCCTCTGGCTGGTGAGGGCAGAGAGGGTTGTGGTGGCCAGCATTTCTGGGAAGAGCCACAGACCTCCAGGGGCTCTTCCTGGGAACCACAGCCACTGGAAGTCCCCTTTGCACCCACCATCATATTTCAAATCTCCTGCTCACTGTGTTGTTCCTCCCCAGCCCCAGATCTGCAGCGTGCTGCACATTTTTGTGCTGAAATTCAGAGCTGCACTCTGGGAGCTGCCAAGCGTGAGTCTGGATTGTGTAATGAGCCTCATCTATAATTTTTATTTTTGCCTCCCTCAAGAAGCTTTTGGAAGAGCCTGGAAAGACCTGGTAGCTTTTCTTCCCACCATGGCTTTGCTTTCCTGGATGTGGGTGGGCTTGAGCCTTGTGCAGAGACCTTCAGACTCTCCTCTTTGTGCCCCAGCAGATCCTCCATCCTCTGAGTCCCTGTCCCAGCTCAACACAAGGATCAACTCATGGTTCCAAATGTCTCTCTTAAAATTACTATGTGGTTTGGGTTTTTTTGTTTGGTTTGGGGATTTTTTGCATTTTTCTCTCCACAGCTCCCAGCAGAGGGTGGGTTTGTTGAGTGGGGAGGAACAAGGAGCTGCTTTTGCAGCTGAGTCCTGTGCTAAGTGCTGCTGGGGCTGCCCTCAGAGGGTTCCCCAACCCTCTGTGCCCTGGGTGTCTGACCTGGCTGGTGCTGAAGGAGATGCTGGATGAGCCCAAGCCCAGTGCTGGGGACTGGGCGATGCTGGTTGGTCCAGGAGAGCACTTGGACAAACTGATCCTGCTGTTTGCAACCAAACCAGGGGCTTTAGTGCCTCATTGGCTGTTGCTGCTTCATTTTCCCCTCCTGTGGGCAGTGGAGCTAGATGGGCTCATTTTCCTTTCCACTATCCAGTTTTGTCCTTTGTGTCTCCCATGTTGTTCCATCAAACCCCATGTGGTCCCACATTTGGGTGGTGCTGGGGGGTCAAACCCCTTCTGTGTCCAGGGCAAACCCAGCCTTGGTGCCCAGGACCTGCTGCAGCCCAGCTCATGATGCCACTGCTCCTCAGGCTTTGCACCTCAGCAGCCCCAGGGCTTCCCACCTGCTGGGAACATACAAAGGTTGTTCAGAGGAAGTGCCTGTGAGGGTATAAGTCCAAGTTTCTGTCTGCAGGAAACCAAGGTAAGAACATCCCTGAGGTCCCAGCTGCTCTGCCCTCTGGGCTGCACCAAACACAGGGCACTTGGAAAACCCTTTTCCCAGTCATTTTGTTATTATGGTGATTTTTTTTTATAAGTGAGGCACTAGAGTGATGTGTTTACTGTCCCAGCAGGTTGTTGCCAGGGGAAAGCAAGCTGGGAGCATCCACCAGGACAGCCCAGCCATGGGGCTGCACAAGCCCCAAGCAGCACAGCCCCAGGACCTCAGCATCTCCTGGCAAGCAGCCACCCTGTCTGAGCAGGTCATTTAAGGAGTGAGCAGCCCAAGCAGAGCACTTCCCCAGGACAACCAGCTGGCAGAGGCAGGGAGGGGGACTAGGGGTGTGCAGGGCACTGTCCCAGGCACAGCAGCCAGCCAGGTTGGCTCCACACCCCTGGGCTGCTGTGGGACCAGGAGGCTGAGCAGTGCCAGCCCAAAGCCATGAACTGCCCTGTGATAAAGTCATTCAAGGAGGGGCAAACCCAGCCATGGCTTGTGAGCCCCAGAGGGCTGGGATAGTTTTCAAACCCGGGGCCAGGAGGGTGCCCAGCAGCCCTGGAGAAGACCCAGGCCCATGGTGCTCCTGTGCAGGGATCCCCTGCTCCCCACATCTCCCAACCACATCCAGGGGGTCCAGCCCCACTCACCAGCTACAAGATGGCTCCAAGAGATACCAAAATGGGAGATGCCCAGTATCTCCCAATGGAAAATATTTCAGCTAAATCCACCCTACGACCATTTTATTGACTCCAACTACCAGAGAGAAGGTTAGAAGTGACTCTTTTACAAGTCATTTTGCTGTTAAATTTAGCTGTCCTATTTTCATTATCCCCATGGCTTTGGCAAGGGTGAGCAGCCTTCCCTAAAAGGCCTCGTTTCATACAGTAAGTTATTTGCTTCTCTCCTGACAGATATCTAAGCTTATAAGGTTTGTCTGCTCTGCTCAATAGCAGTATCAGCCCTCAATCTTAGATGATTAGCATCAGCATTTCAGTTTGGCTCTTGGGTCCCCATCTAGGAGCTTTCCTTTGGGGGCAGTGGGATGGTGTAAAGTGAGATCACGTAATGTGGGATCATCTCACTTGGATGCCCAAGCTTTATGGTATGCCCAAGGGTTTTGGAATAAATGGTTTGTCTGCTTTCCCCCCTCCCTGTTTTCCCTATTGCCCAGCAAAGAGAATGGATTTGTTCCATCCATTTCATGGTTGTCAGGTCTGCAAAATATTGGTAGGTCAACGTGGTGCCAAAGCAATGGGCAACCGAAGATGAAAGGTGATGATATGAAAAGAAATGTCCAGGAAAGGAAAGGATTTATCCCAGCAGGTTGAACTTTTCCATATTTCCAGAACTATTTTCCCCTGTAGAGAGGGACCTTGTCCCAGCTTCAATGGCCACAGAGGGTCACCACCTCCTCTGAGGTTTGGGAGGCAGCAGATGCACCAGGAATGCTCCTGGGATGGATCCTGTCCTTGTGGGGAGGGCTGACCCTGCTGGGCTTTAAGCTTTTTTTGGGGGAAACATCCTCTGTTTCCCTCAAAAGCAGCCTTAGGGCTCCCCAGCCAAGAGCTCACCCCGTGGGGCTGTGGCCTCCAGGGTCCCCATCCACACCCTTGGCCAAAAAAACCCAAACAACCCTCCTCCCAAAGCCTCCCATGGCACTGCTGCTGGCCCCCAAATCCCATGTGCAGACTCAGAGAGGCTCCCTGTGCCCACAGCATCCCTTGCCATGCCCCAGCCTTTCAGGAAATGCTGGAAATGCTTCGACATGTGCCCAGCCCAGCCCATGTGAGCACTGGGAACCAGCCAAGCCCTGGCTGGGCAGCCTGGCTGCTGGAGGGGGACAAGCCAGACACCCCCCCCCCCCTCCACGGGCTGACTCCAAATTGCTGGGATGGGGGTTCTGAGCCCCCACCTTCCCCTTTCCTGACCCTTTTCCTGGGGCAGCTTTTTGAGGGACAGAGCAGGGAAGTGAGGGAAAGGACAGGGTTGGGGACAGGGGGACACAGGCATTCCCCCCCCACACAGCCTGAAGTAGCAGCAGGAGAGATGATCCCCCAGTGCCTGAAGTCTTCTCCTGGGACCCCCACCACCTCCTCCCCCCCTCCATTGCCTCCAGGGATGCTGGCTGGTCCCTGCCCTTCTGTCCCCATGGCAACGGTGTCCTGGGTGCTCCGTCCTGCCCGGGTGGCATGTGGGCTTGGCAGTGGGGTGGCCTTGCAGCCTCCACACCCCGTCCCACCCCCGGACCATGTAGGGCACCAGCTGCTCCCAGCCCAGAGCTTATAGGAAGAGGAAACCCCGTCTTTGCCCAGAAGAGGAAACCAGACAGCCCAGATGTGCACCAAGCGACGCCGATAGCATTTCTGGCATTTCTTTTCTCTTCTTTTGCTTGTTTGTTTGGTTTTTTTTTTATTTATTATTATTATTTGTCTGTGTCTTGGGGTTTGTTTTTTTTCCTCCCCTCCTCCTCTCTGCAAACAGAGGAGCTGCTGGAGCAGGAGACACGGCCCAGCCCGGGGGACAGTGAGCAGTGGGGCTGTGGCCCAGCTCCAGAGCAGCCATGGGGCAGAAGTGCATGGACAAGGTGTCTGCCTTCCTCTTCGAGTATGACACCCCCAGGATGGTGCTGGTGAGGAACAAGAAGGTGGGACTGACCTTCCGGCTGATCCAGCTCATCGTCCTGGCGTACATCATCGGGTAAGGCCCCCCAGGCCCTGCTCCCCCCCAGCTCCAGGCTTGGCCACCAGTTTAAAAAGCAACAGAGATGGAGGGGCTCATGTATCCCCTGCATCCTGATCCAGGGGGGGTTTTCTTGCTGATAGCATCTCATCCCCCTGGCCGTGGCCATTCCCGGGCAGCCTGGTGTCCTACTGTGAGTCTTCCAGTATTCCCAAGCAGCCTGGTGTCCTACTGTGGGTCTCCTCCTGTGGGTCTTCCAGCATTCCCAAGCAGCTTGGTGTCCTACTGTGGGTCTCCTCCTGTGGGTCTTCCAGCATTCCCAAGCAGCTTGGTGTCCTCCCATGGGTCTTCCAGCATTCCCAGGCAGCCTGGCGTCCTCCCGTGGGTCTTCCAGTATTCCCAGGCAGCTTGGTGTCCTACTGTGGGTCTTCCAGCATTCCCAGGCAGCCTGGTGTCCTACTGTGGGTCTTCCAGCATTCCCAGGCAGCCTGGTGTCCTACTGTGGGTCTCCTCCTGTGGGTCTTCCAGCATTCCCAGGCAGCTTGGTGTCCTACTGTGGGTCCTCCAGCATTCCCAAGCAGCTTGGTGTCCTCCTGTGGGTCTTCCAGCATTCCCAGGCAGCTTGGTGTCCCACTGTGGGTCTTCCAGAGGGTCTCCCAGTCCCCACAGGCTCCCCAGGAGTGGGTAGGAAGCTGCTCCCTGCCCAGCCCTGCTGCGTGTGCCGGGGCCCCGGCTCCTCGCTGAGCCACGTCCAAATACCTCTCGAGCTGCTGGATGGTGGCCTGAGAGTCTGTTGTTATTTTTATTTTTCATTTATATTAAAGAAGAGGCATTTGGGGCCAGGGAGATGATTTGTGAGCCCCGAGCGGCGGGAGGCAGGGCCATAAATCTTCCCCCAGCCCGTCCCTGGGGCTGGGATGGAGCTGGGATGGAGCTGCTCTCCAAAGCCCCGGGTTGCTTGGATGGTGGGAGGCAGCACCAGGAGCAGCTGCTTCCAAAGGGCAGCAGGAGGGTGGGTGTCCTTGGGTGCCCCAGGGCTGGGGCTGCTCCTGCCTCGGAAATTCAGTCACAGAATGATGACATTTTTGGAGTTGGAAGGGACCTTTAAAGATCATCCAGATCCAACCCCCCTGCATGGGCAGGGACACCTCCCACCAGCCCAGGTTGCTCCAAGCCCCATCCAACCTGCCCTTCAACACTGCCAGGGATGGAGCCCCCACAACATCTCTGGGCAGCCTGTTCCAGGGTCTCCCCACCCTCACACTGAAGAATCCCCTTGTGCCTTGGGGTGTGATGGGTGGGAACAGTGCAAACATCTTTGCTGTGCCCCCCTGGCTGCTGGGAGCTCAGCCCTGGAGAGAGGGACCAGCTCCCTCCCAGTGGGAAGAGTCCCATGGCATGAGGTTTGCAGGGAGGAGGGGGGTGGGTCTGGCCATGAACTGGAGAAAATGGGTGTTTTTGGGGGTGCCAGGGGACAAGTGCAGCCCAAAGGAGAGGCTCCCAGGGGTCAGTGCAAGTGAGGGGCTGTGCCCATCTGGCTTTTAGCCCAGATCCGCTGGGAAGGGGGACAAGCTCCCCAGGGTGGTCATCATGGGACCCCATCAGCGATCCCACCCTGCTCACCAGCAGGTTGGGTGATCCTCATCCCTTGAGCTGGGGCCTCAAGGAAGTTCAATTGCAACTGCACTGGCTCCAGACTGGTGTTACTGGGAGCAATGCTGGCTCTCCCAAGGGCTGACCCCTGGAAAACCCCAGTCCCAGCAAACCCAGCCAGGGGCAGCAGCTCCTGCCAGGAGGAACCAGCAGAGACGGGGCTTCCTAAGGAAACCAGGCTTAAGCAACCCAGCTAAATGGGGACAGGAGGGAGCAAAAAGAGAACCAACTCAGGGAGGTGACAGCCAGGGGTGAGGGGAGGAGGTTGCTGTGATGCAATTCCCACATTTTTGCTGTCTCAGTGGGCTCAGGCTTCCTTAGCAAGGGGCTGCCCATAGCCCCACTGACCATGGGCATCTCCTGGCTGCCCCTGCACTGCCTCCAGCTCCCACCCCACTCCCAGCCACCACTCTGGGTGTTTTCCCTTCTTTGAGAGCAAATTCAGCAGGGCAATGTTTATTTCTTTGCAGTTACCCCAGAGGAACAACTTGGGTTCCCCCCCTGGCAGCAGGAGGGGGGTGCTGGGCTGGTGGGAGCTGGTGGGTGGCTGTGCTGGCAGGACCTGGGGTTGGCCCTTCCTGGTGCTGGAGTTATCCTTGGGGAGCAGCTCTGTCCTCCACCTGCTCTTCTTCCTGCAGAGCTCAGGGGCTCCCCACCCCACTTTAGGGCTTGAATTTCCTGAGAGCCTGGTGTGCAGGGAGCTGCGGGCTGAGCCCCAAGATGGGGCCCCCAGGGAGGAGGGTTTGGTGACTCCACCACGTGGGGGATGTGGCACCAAGGGACTTTTTTCTGTGGCTTTTGTCACACGACAGGGTGTGCCCTGTGTGCCTGCAGACGCCCCTGCCAGGGAGGGAAGAGGTGGCAGAGGCTGCACCAGAGGCAGATTTAGGGAAACGCTCCCCCATGGGGACACCAGCTCCTGGGGGACAAAACCCAGTGTAACCAGTGTCACCCATTGTGTGCCCCTGCCTTGGAGAAGGAGGTTGGATCTGGGGGTCCCAGCTGGGGTGGCAGCAGTGCTGAATTCCTGCTCCCATCCCCGGGTCCTGGGGCAGATGCCACCCCTGGAGCACCTGGCCCAGGATGGTCCGGGAGCACCAAACCCCAGGAGGCTCCAGCACCAGATCTCCTGGCAGCACCTGGAGTTCCCCCCTTTTCTTTTTTCCCCTCCCTGGGGGTCAGGTGCTGGGGGGTCAGGCTGACACCTCAGGCTTCCACCACGGGCAGCTCCTGCCTCTGTCCCTGCCAGCGGGACCGGCACTTGGGGACAAAACCCAGATCTCTCCTTTTTTAGCACCAGGAACGTTCCGCGCTCCCCGGGATGGTTCTCTGCCCATGTTTATAGTCTCCCTGAGTCAGAGTTAATCCAGCAGCAGCTTGTTTATGCCATAGGTTAAATAGTGTCAGGAGCAGGGCCTGATGACTGGGCTGGGAAAAGAGGGGAGGGCCAGAGCAGTGTCCCCAGCCCTGCTCCTGCTGCCTTCCTGCAGCCAGACCCACAGCTCCCTGGTTCCCTTTGCTGGGTGGGGAATGGGGAGCCTGGACATGAGCTGTGACCAGGCTTGTTCCTGTCTTGGCCCTGGAGGCACTGACTTCTGGAGAGTGCCTGGGAGGTGGATCAGGAAGAAGTAGGTGGGTGGAAGAGCCCAGCAAAGCTGCAAACCTGCCAAGGGGCTGCTGGCCACCCTGCTCCACCTGCCTCAACCATAAAACGTGTCCCAGGCCCTAAAATATACCACCCCAGCATGGAAGGCAGGTCCCACCTGCCTCGGGCAGAGGGTGGGAGAGCTCAGCAACCCTCATCCAGCTGGAGGAAACTGGGCAAATCAACCCCCAGGTAAGACTTGTAACAGGAACCCCAGCCTGCAGGGATGTGCTTGGACTTGGGGCTCCTGCAGGTGGGTGCTGGTGGCCACGCTCACCCCACTGCCTTTCCCTGTCCAGGTGGGTTTTCCTCTACGAGAAGGGTTACCAGTCTCAGGACAGTGTTGTCAGCTCAGTCTCGGTGAAGATGAAAGGCCTGACGGTGACCAACGAGAGTGTCATGGGCCCTCACATCTGGGATGTGGTGGATTATGTTTTCCCACCCCAGGTAAGGAGGCCAGGGTGGGTGGGGGGGATTGTTTTTCTGTCCCAACAGCCACTTGTCCCCAGGTGCCAGGGTGCAGGGAACACTTTCCAGGGCACCAAGCGTGACGTGGTGTCCCCGTGGTGGAAAGCAAAGTTGCTCCTGCCACAAACTTCTGCCCACAGAGCAGCCCTGGGGAGCTTTCAGTGCTTGGGACTCACCATGGATGATGGGGCATGTTTGAGACCTCCCCCCAAAAAAAGATCAAGGCTCCTCTGTTGCCTCCAGATGACTGTGTCAGGCAGCCATGGGGGACCTGCAGCTCCCCAGGGCCACAACAACTTCCCCAGCTGTGGTGGAGGAGGGTGGAGGATCCAAAGCTGGGGAGAAAGGTGCCATCTGCCTGGATATGACCCTGTGGTTTGGGTTCCCCACCTCTTGCCCCAGGGAGAGGCTCCTTGCACAGACTCCACCAGGAAATGCAGTGCTGGCTGTGTCTCCACAGGGGGACAGCTCGTTCGTGGTGATGACCAACTTCATCATCACCCCTGGACAGAAACAAGGAACCTGCCCAGAGGTAAACACACTGGCTTCCTTCAGCACCTTCAGCTTCTGTCATTCCAGGGGTGGTGGTGGTGGCACTGGGGGAAGTTTTCCTGACATTGAGAGGTTTTGTAAAAGCCTGAGCCTGGCCCTGTGTTGTTGTTCCTGACCTGCAAGTGCTGCATGAAGGCTTTTGTTTTGCTAAATAGCCAGTACCCATCTGAGTTTCCTTCCTTCTGAGATGATCGAGCAGATCAGGCTTGAGGCTTAAATAAAAGCATCTGCCTGAAGTTAAAAAAACATAAATCCCCTTTTTTTCCTGCTTATTCTGGACATTCTTGTCTGGGAAGTGGTGTATGGATCAGACATTGGGAGGGACTTCCCAGGGAAGTGGGGGTGGCACCATCCCTGGAGGTGTTCCAGGAAAGGCTGGATGTGGCACTTGGTGCCTTGGTCTGGAGATGTGATGGTGTTGGTCATAGGCTGGACTTGATGATCTTCAAGGTCCCTTCCAGCCTTGGTGATTCTGTGATTTTGGGATGGACGAGGCTCTGGCTGCAGCTGAGCAGTGTTTCCCCCATGGAAACCACTTCCTGGTGAGGCAGGAGGGCCAGAGGGATGGAAGGGCAGGGTGTGATGCTGAGAGGTGGCTGCTTTCTCCCAACAGCTGCCAGATGCTGGGCCCTGCAAGCAGGACAGTGACTGCACCAAAGGGAAATACAGTCGCCAGGGACAAGGTAGGGGACACAGAGCCCTCAGAGTGCTCTGGTGAAGCTGCAGGGCTGGGGTGTTTGGGAGGGGTACCCACTTTAGAGCACCACTGATGGGGCTTGGGAAAAGCCCTTGATGTGCTGGGTCCCACCTGGGCTGGCCCTGCTTTCCTCTTCTGAAAGAGCTGCAAGAAGCTCTGCCAACAAAAAGGTGATCAAGACCAAACTGTGTTCCCCAGGCTGCTCCTCTGCCAGCAAACTGGCACTTCCTGAGGAGTATTTTAGCAAGAAATACCCAGTGGTTCCCAGTTTAGCAAGAACAGTTGTTCCCTTGTGTCAGATAAACCCCAGCCCTGAGCTGGGAGGCCACAATTAATTACCCTTCTTATAGAAGGGCACCAAAACCCTGAGTTTGTGGTGCCTTGGATGTCTGTGGCAGGGCTGAAGCTCCAGTCAGATCCCATCTATCCCAGTGGGAGGCTGGGATTTCCCAGTATCCAGGGCTGTGGGCAGCTGTCTTCCTTTTCCACAGGGCTGATGACAGGCAAGTGTGTGCATTTCAACAGCTCTGTGAAGACCTGTGAGATCTTTGGCTGGTGCCCTGCTGAAGATGATGGCTACGTTCCTAAGTAAGGAATCATCTCATTGTCCCCTCTGCCACCCTGGTGCCACCCCAGCAGCACCTGATGTTGGACAGAGCTGCTTGCTAAATGCAGCCCATTGTCCCCATGGACTTTGTGTCTCTCCTGGGGTGGTTTGCTCCTCACCTTGCTGGCAGCTCACCCTGTCCCTGCTGGGTGCTCTGGGCATGGACCAGCAGTCCCCATCTATCCTCTTTACCTTCAGAGTAAAGTTGTGCTCTGCCCATGACTCCTTCACCTCCAGCCTCCATGGGCCACTGTGAAGCATCTAAAACCCCTGGTAGATGCAAAGTCCTGTTCCTCCCTGCCTCCCTTCCCACAGGGGGGGCACAGGGACAACCACAGGTGCACCAAGGAGCCCAGAGAAGCACAGAGGCCCTTCCAGACACTTTTTTTTTTGGTGCTTTTTTTGGATTTCTTAACTGAAATCCCAGCACCTTACTCCCTCATTTTCCCTAACAGGCACTTCCATCCTTCCTTGGGGCTTTTCTGAACCTCAGTGAGGTCTTTCACTTAGGAAGGAAAGGGGTGAGATCACCAGTTTTTCTGGGTCCTGTTCATCCCTGTTGGGATGGATGTTCACCAAATGGGGCTTTCTCTGGAGGCCAGAGAGCTGAGTGATGGCCACATGTCACAACACTTGTGTTTTTCAGACCTGCCCTGTTGTCAGAAGCAGAGAATTTCACCTTGTTCATCAAGAACAGCATCACCTTCCCCAGGTTCAAGGTGTTCAGGTAAGGGAAGGCACAGGGGGATGGCTCCTGCCATCAAACCATGGGTGTAGCTGGATGCTTGATCTCAACCATTCCCCATCAGTGAGCCCAGGACTCCTCTAACTGCTGCACTGATCACCAGATTAGCTGATCAGAACCAAGGCATTTTCCCTCCCTTCCAAGTCTGTCCCACCTCAGCTGGTAAGCTGTGGTTACAGGAAAGATGATTTCTGGAATTCACGTCCTCTGAGTTACCTTCACATGATGAACATGAGAACACAGCTTCTCCAGTTCTTCATTTTTCTTCTCCCTTCTCCTCCCTGAAGAGAACAGTAAAATACTGCCTGGCACGGTGGGGGTTGAGCAGCCAGGGCACGTTTGGTGCCTAAAAGGGAGCAGAAGGTCCCTCTCAACACCATAGTTCCCACCTGTTTCTGCAAGGGGTTGTAGGGCCAGCCCTGAGGTCGTGCCACCAGCTGAAGGTGTGCATGAAGGAAGCTTTGTGGTGACACTGGCTGTGTGTCTGGTTTGGAACAAGTGGACAGAAGCTGCTTGTGCTGAAGGTGGCAGATTCTTGCTGATTGTATCCCTGGGCTGTGGGGGTTACATGCCTGGCAGGCTTGAGCCAACCTTGTTCTGCACCCAGGAAGGTGGCAGGGAGAGGAGATTTCCCCACCAGTGGCCAAGAGAGGTGGCAGCCTGAGCAAGGACAGGCAAGAGAGGGGACACTGTAGGGACAGAAGGTCTGGGGAGTTGCAGGCAGCCAGGCTGGCTCTGCTGCAGGGGCTGAGCTGTCTGGGGTCATGGAGAAACTTCCTGCCTTTGATCATTGCTGCTCATTAACCCTTGAGCATAAATGATGGGACAGGGTTGAGCAAGACACAAGCCTTCCAAGCATCTGGGGCAGGGAGGCTTCACAGAAGGATTATTTTTAGAAGAACAGAGCAGGGTGGAAGGCAAGAGGTTGTCCATTCCTTTTCACCCTGCTAGAGGAGATGGCAAAATCCAGCTAAATGTAAAAGCTGTGGGATCCATGAGCTGTCCCAGATAAAAACTGTTGGTGCCAGGAGCATTGTCCATGTTCACAGGTTGCCATGTGAATGGGAGAGGCAGCTGGGAGGGATGGTGGAAGTCACAGGAGGGTTTGGAAAGCTGAGGAATGAGACAGAGGGGTGCTAGAAAAGGTGAGCACAGGCAGGTGTGTGCTGGGTTTGGGCAGCAGGCAAAGCAGCAAAGCTAAAGCAGGGGTGGAGAACATTTCCAGGAAAGGAAACAGCAGAGAAGCTTCCTCTGCAGGAGCAGGTCCAGGGGAAAGGAGTTGCTGATGGGGTGGGAGAAACCAGGCAGGGCTGGAGGAAAGGGCCCACTCTCCATGTGTGAGGTTTGATGGGCCTGTGGGGTTGGAGAGTGAGGCCCTGAGGCTTTGACTCACTGGGCTTTGAGCAACAGGCTGGACCAGGCA